TCGCGCAGACCAGGGACGAGCGCCACCCCGAAAAAGTTCTGCAGAGAAAGTTCCAGAGGCTAGGAGAGCCCGCGTCACCCACGGTGGGAAAGGCTCTTTGTCAAAGGCCCGCTGCAGGAGATGGGGCCAAGACCCCTGGCCGCGCCCCGGGCCGCAGGACCCCTGGGCGAGCAGGCGGCGCGCTGGGAACAGAGACCAGACACCCGCTCCTGCTGCACTTGGGGCTGCTCCGGCGGCTCGCCTGGCCGGCTTTCGGGAGCCACTGTGTTCCTCTCCTCCCGCGCGGTGACGGACCTTCAGGTTTTCTGCGCGGTGTGGCCGGACCCACTCTCTTCCACTTTCCACTTGGCCACAGCTTCACTCTTTTCTTGGCGAGCAGGACGGGTGCCCTCGTGCTACGGGGATCTGTGCGGCTCCGACTGGGCCCTAGGACCGGGGGCATACACGCCCCAACCCCCCAGTTATTCTTTCCGGCCACTCTTTGGTTCTTTGGAAAGGAGAGCAGTAACCTCTTCGCCCCTGCACACGTCCCTCCTGGTCGTGGCCACAGAAAGTTGGAAACGACCAACTCTGGACCTTCCGACTTCCCTGACCCCGCGGCAGGTGGGTTAGGCAGGACGATCTTGGGAGAGTTAGTCTGTAAACACTCATCGCTTCCCACTCGACTGTGTTCGCCTGCCACCCATTCCCCCAACACCTCTCTAGAAGCGCACTGAGGGGCTGTGTGCACGCTCCCCCCACCCCCACCCCCACCCCGCATGAGGTGAGCCCAGGCCTGGACGCTTAGGGCAGAGAGTGGGCTAGCCCGCTGTGGCAAGCCAGGAAAAGAGGAGGAGGAACGGAGAGGTTGTATAAGGAGGTGAGTGGGAGGGAGGGAGGTGAAGATAAGAAACAGGGATGTCCTAGTGGGATGGCCTTGACTGATTCCCGCACTGGGAGTGGGGGCCCATGAGTGCGAGCTGGTTCCAGTTTAGTGCCCCAGTTGGGGGCTTGGACATATGTGCCCCTGTCCAAATTCTTTCAGAAAACAAGTCTTTTTTTTCTTTTTCTGTCCCATCTTATCACCATCCTTTAGTTTGCTAGTTCGCCCCTCCGTTACTCCTCCCCTTCCAATACTCCTCCCGTGGCTGCGTTCTTATGTTCTGAAGGAAGGTCCAAAACCACGCGCCACCTCAGCTCCGACTGGGCCCTAGGACCTGGGGCATACAAGCCGCTCACTCTCCCCTTAAATTGCAGAAGACAGGAGTGCCCGGCTTGAGTGGATGTAGCTGGACCGCGCTGCTCCTGAAGGAGCACTTGGCCAGCGAGGATGTGGGTCCCACACGGCTTCACTTTGGGGACCAAGCAGCCTGAAGGGTTGAAAGCGAGGCGCTAGCCTCTGCTCACCAGGAGGAACCAGTCTGAGCCCTCACCTGCGTTCTAGAGGGCGCCACGCTTGCCAGGTGCCCAGGAGCGCTTTCAAGTTCTAACTTCAGGCGGCTTGGTGGCAAGCGCTGGAGATAGAAACAAGCTTAAAAGGTGGCGGGGTCTTTCTCTCGCCCTCCTGGTCTCTCCTTCCTTGACCCCCTCACCGTCTCTCCTCTGCCTTCGCTGTGTATTTCCTGCGGACTTTGCCCTCCTGCGACATCGGGGGTTGTTCTTTAAGGATGGGTTGAGAAAAGGGCCAGACTACTCAGACGTCTGGTGGGAATCAGGGGTTGAACTTGAGTGTGAACTTGAGAAGTGAGAGCGGAAACGAGTCAGCTTTCTCTTGTGCCTGGGCTGCTAAGCAGCCTGTACTGCGGGGAGAAGGGCGGTTTTGAGGTCAGCTTTACAGTGTGCCCACTCCATTTCCCCAATACTCAACACCACACACGCGCGC